GTGCGTTATTTGCTGCATGAGAGGCTGGATGTGGAGGGGAGCGCGAGGGGCTGGCAGTTGGTTGGCGAAGGGGAGAAGAATCTCGCGAGATGGCAGGGGGCGGTGGAGGTGTGCGAGGAGGAGGAGGGGCAGGAGAAGCCTGACGCCTGGAGCGAGGTGAGGGGTTGGAGTAAACGGAAGGCGGTGGGGGAGAGGCCTTCTTCCGGGTCCTCTTTTTATGGCAGGTGGCGGTGGAGGTGTGCGAGGAGGAGGAGGGGCAGGAGAAGCCTGACGCCTGGAGCGAGGTGAGGGGTTGGAGTAAACGGAAGGCGGTGGGGGAGAGGCCTTCTTCCGGGTCCTCTTTTTCGCCGGCATGGTGCCGTACGAAAAGAAAGGGGAGAATGAAGATGCAGAAGGTTAGAGGCAAGAATGCAGGAGAGAAAAGCGTTAGAGACAAAGGTCCTTAGGGGTAATTAATAAATCAGGAGCCGTGTGAGAAAGAGAGGAATATGTCTTAACAAAGACAATTTGATGGCTGCCGGGACAAAGAGCCCCGGCAGATGGGGTGAAGGATTGACCTGACCGAACAAAAGCACGGTGAGGACAAGCTAAAGCTTGGGTGTGGACTCTAGCTGAGGATCTTCCCCGAATCTGGTTTGTGCTTGGGTTGTCTTGCCCGCGTGCCTCTACTTCCCTATGAGGGGTGTATCATTACCTCGCACTTAACTCCTAAACAGCTGTTCATGAGCTACCGGGGAGGACATCCCTGACTTCTGCCATACGGCCGGTACATGAGGACCCATCCTCTTTCTCAAACATTCCACATAGGACATAGCGGCAGTCACCGGTTTGTGCGAATGAGTTACGCGGCGCAGGAGGTGCCATCTCCCGTCAACAAGAGAAAATACACTCATTCGGGACTCTGGACTATGGATTAAAGCAAAAAAAAAACAGTACACTATATACAATATCGTGACAATATTAACCCTTTGACCCGCTTGAAATTTTATGGGCTTCCTTATAACAAGCGCCTGTGAAATATGTCTGTCATATGGTTAAAATCCCTGACAACAGAGACCAGAGTTCAAGTGACTGAGATCGATGACACGCACTTTTCCTTGTTTGCACCAATCAGCCAGCAATGGAGGACAAAATGGCTACCTTTATGATTCATGAATGGATGAGTCAGGTCCATGAGGCTAACGTCGAATTTGAAGCTATCTACGCAGCCTAAATTGCGGAAATGCAAGGGAATGTGATCATGGTGACCTTGCATCTAAACGTGAAGCCTCAAATAGACCAGGAGAAGGTGATGCATTCGAAAGCATTCGGATTAGAAGTTGGACAGGAGATTCAGGTCAAGTACTTTGGCAGGGATCCCATGAATGGACAGCTCCCGATTGTTCCAAAAGGTCCTCCAAGCACTTGCTTCTCCGAGGGTGAAAACTCTTGGTTTGAATGATCAGGATCCTTGTCTTAGCTAATCACTTTATTCACTTATTTTATATATCATTCTAAACGGTGTCATGATGGATCTGATATACCTTCAGAATGAAAATGATCATGATCACTTTCTGCTTCTGGATTAGTAACACCCTGTTTGCTTGTGAAAAAACTTGTGGGGATTCAAACGACTATTTCAATGCCCCTTGGAATATTTGAATGTATTCACAATTTTTGAACATCATAACTGGCGAGGAATTCCTTCGACTAGAGTCGAGTATTATGCATATAAGTTCAAAATCAGTTTATACAGTGTATCATATGTTTTCCTTTGTTAGTCATTAGGTCATCAGTTTACTTAGTCACTAATTTGTCTAGTCTCATGGGATTACAATTTCCTACATTTCTATAATCTCTTAGTCGTTGTATATCCAAATACATTCTCATTGCATATTTAATTCATCCTCATCGCAACTGCTTTTGCTTCTTCTTAAGTGCCCAGATGATCGCGTGAAAACCAGATACCCAAGTAAAGAGCTTCAAGGGCCAGACATCCATAAAAGGGAAAATGAGAACAAGGAAAGCGGAAACAAGGCAACGGAGGAGTTCAACTCGAGGTCCCTGTGTATCGTTCTTCAGCATCAGCCCAAGGCTCTGAATCGAGAGGACCATGTAGCCAAGAAACAGAAGCGCTTGATGGAGGTACCAAGTCTGGGGAAAAGGTATGGTTTCACTGTTCAATCACTGTTCATCTCTCTTTTACTCCTTTTTTTTTTACAAAAGGAATAGGGTTTGATACTTACCTTGTGGATGGACACGAACTGGGCATGCATCATGCCACCAATTAGAAACAGCATGACGGCATGAACCTGAAGATGCCAGGGACTCTTTGGCTGATATTTCTGCATCGGGGTCTTGTTCTACACAGGATGAATGGACGTTGAATTATCTTTTTTCAAAGGAACATATTTCCGATGCAGTTGGTGTTGAAAAACTTCATTGAACGGAATTCAAGCATTTGCCCATGAATTCATGGAAGTTCCTATTTATGAGAGTTATTTCGCATGTGCAATCCAAGAAATGCATCAGTAGGGCCTAACGAGATTTAAAAAAAAAAGTTCTATACACTTTGTATGGATTCTACTACATCCATTCTTACAGCGGGGGTGGCTCATGAGTATGTACATGCAGTTAATGAACCAGTAGGTATAATCCTTGTCATCTTCCCAGCTTAAAATCCCAGCTCGAATTTGTTATGATTTTCAGTTGGACCCCAACTGTAGAATCTGAACCTTTCCAACTGGGTAACACATGGAAAGTAAAGTCAGATCCAGATTGGTTTCTCGTTGCAATAGCAATTGGGAAATGAGAATGTTTTTGCAGGCAATTTTCACCGGAGATCCATCTGCATATCAGCCAAATTTAAGCTGAAAATTCACATTTAATCCAAATGGAATAAACTTGAATGTTAATGGTGAATGGACGAGTGACATACCAATTGCCTCTGTCCCTATTACTCTCTCGTTGATCTCTATACGCGATTATTCATCATTATCTTCACTAAAAAAAGATCTGTTAGCATATGGTATCAACACAATTTTTCCAGTTGGCCTACCAATCATAGGCAGCTTCACAGCTCAGGGCACGTTTGGCGCAAACACGCTACAAACTTTTCGATGTTTTAGCATTACCTACCTCATATTTCTGCAGAAACAACGGTGTCCAAAATCGAGTTTGCTTGTCACTTTTCATGATTGTTCATGGATGGACAAAACTACTCTCTATTGCCAAACCTGAAGCAAATCAGTACCAGTAAGCAGGGCGTCGGAACTGTAGGGAAACGTTTCGTTCCGGTATAATGTTATCGCTGGAATAAAGTTCCGTTCCAGAGCATTCTAATGTTTGAATTTATTGAGTTCCATTCCGTTATAACGTTTCATAACGTTATCAATAAAGTTCCAATGCACACACCCAGCATGTCTGTTCCAACTCTCTTGAAGGGAATGTCAGCTTTTTTTCTGTTTACATATGGTACGTGTCCCGGATCATCAGCCTCTTCTCTCACGCGCTTCTTTTTATATACAGGTGATATACAGGTGACTCTCGTTATACGTTATACGTGCGTTCCCGAGAATCGCCGTGTATATCGAAAATGCGTAAAACTTCCACGGCGCCTATGGATAGGGATAGTGATAGTCTCCATGCACCGAAATGAAACCGCGGATATGCGAAAACGCTGATAACGAAAGCGTGCCAGCATACGGTATGCTGGTATATCTCTGGTCTGCCCCTCAGTGTAATGATACAAACCGTTACAATCCGGTACGATCAGAAGGTTCCGTTCCGTTATGTCACTCCATCTCCCTCATTCATATTTCGTTCAACATTCCGTTCTGGGTGATATCAAAAGTTCCGGTCCGGTTTACCGTTCCGTTCCCTTCCAGCTCTGACGCCTTGCTAGCAAGCCAAAGCCACATCGCATGAATTTGAATAGACCATACACCGTGACTATTTCTCAGAACAAATTGCAGTCAAATGCAGTCTCTTCATGGAAAAGTAATAACGTTTTCACTGCCTCACATATGTTGTATGTTACTATGGAATAATGGCTCGTACAGTACAACTCCAATGTATCAATATTTTTTGATTCATCATTTCAAGAAGTTATATCAACTTAGAATCTGACGTCAGGCAGGAGATCCTTAGGGTAAAGCCTGGGTTGTCCGGGTTCCCAGCCTGGGCCATAGAAAAGAACTTTCAGTCGGTCCCCCCAGCTCTCCATTTTCCATAGGGATTCCCAGATGCTCTGAAAGTGGTGGAACTGATTCCGAGAGAATCCATTCGTTAGATGTGAACTTCAAATAAACTTCTAGAGGCATCAGAGAGACAAACTTGGAGTTTGATGGGATTGTAAGTGCTGACTGGGTGGGTGAGGCCATAGACAACTTGATCGCCTTCGGGTTCAAACGTCCCAAAAATTCGATCCCAGATGATGAGCGCCCCCGCATAGTTCTTGTCTATGCAGTACCGATTGCTTCCTGTAAATGTCAAAACTTCAGAGAAGAACTCATTTTCGTTTCCCAGTTTCGAGAAAACATTGGAATTCAGACCATGATGGACTCGATGATGCGATGGGGTGTTGATGATGTACTCGAGAGGTCCCAGAGAAGAAACAGTCTCTGTATGAAGCCAGATCTGGTAGAGTGTGTTTAATTGCATGTGGACTAGAAAGTGACTCGGTGGGACACCCAGCAGTGCTATCGGGATGTAAGACACCTGTCGAGGCAAATTATGGCAATAATACCTGTAGTACAGGTAAAGGTGGGAAGCATTTGGAAATGTATCGAATCCAATAATGGACACAATTAAAGAGGAAGGCTTCAGAAGGCATTCGATTGCCACGAAGATTTCATTATTATTTATTAGTTATTCATCCCACTTTTTCCCCCCC